ATGTATCCGAAAAACTTGAATATGGTACGTGTATTCGAATATAACTTTAAAAACTAGAACACCGCAACGGTTCATAAACCACAACGGTTACTGTTTATGTATATAATATACTACTGGTGTTACTTTCTAATACCTGCTTAGATTTATTTTATGTTTTTTTTTCAATAACCATTTTGCTTTCGTAAGCCACAGTTTAGTGTAATTCCTTTTAAAATTACGCAGCATTATTTGCTTTGCGCCAAAATATTTTTTTTTATATAGAATAATAGTGACAAACCAGCCGACAGTTCACCTGATGGTAAGTGAATGCGGTGGCCGTAGCTACATCTATCTTTAATTAAGAATCAAATTCAATGCGTCTGCCAGCCATGAATACTTAGATGAAACACTCTTTACCAAAGAAAAGGGTCTCTGATTCTTGTCACTGAATGAATTTGCCGCTCGCTTGTTCACGCTGGTAATCTGTACGAGCGCGGTCCTTTCCATTTTTTTTAATAGAATAAAAGAGCCAAACGAGCACAGTCCACCTGATGGTAAGTGGACATCTACATTTATTCTCGATTAAGAATCAAAATGCATATGCGTTGTCACCTACTGCATACAATTTTTGTAGATTGTATGGCGAAGTGTAACATACATTTAGTTTTGCTTATATTTTTTATAGGATAAGCATGACAAACGAGCACACACTCCACCAGTGATTGCTGAGGCCCATAGACATCTACATCTATCGTCGATTATGAATCAAAATGCAGATGCGTTGTCACCCGTGAGAACTAAGATGGAATGCCTCGTTTCCAACAAAAAGGGTCTCCGGTTCTGAACACTCACCATACGAAACACAGCAACCTTAAGCTACTATTTTACGCTCGTATTCTGTGAGAGCTTATGACTACCCTACCCCGGTCGAACTGACCCATTTGTGCTACGACTGCTCGTATTATAGCTGCAGCGTGGTTCTACCACGTACAAAATTTTTGGGCTGTTTTGTATTAAGAATAATTATTACTTTTAACAAAATGTAAAAACCGACCACAACTTGCTAAAAAGATTTTCTACCTTTAGTGGTGAAATTTTTTCTCCAAACTTATATGGTGTAGTAGCGGTTCAACCTTAAACCCTTGAAGTATAATCTATTTAATAAAAAAAAATCTTTAAAATTGGTTCTCAATATGCGACGATATCATATAAAATTCCTTCAACTATAGTCCAATATGAAACTTTTTCCCCTGTTTTCCACCATTGTGGGCGGGAATTTCCCTTGAGGTATTTAATAAAAAAAGAATCATTAATATCTTTTCACAATCTGGGAAGATATCGCGTAATATATGAACAAAAAAACATACACTCGAATTGTGAACATCCTCCTTTTTGAAGTCAGTTAAAAATATAAGGAGAGATTTATACCAATATCTATAATTAAAAGGAGCTGCTAAAAGCTTTGAGATATATATTACTATTATATTATAATTATTTAATTCATAATTATTAATTTATAAATTATAACCATTAATTTTTATTGTCATAAAAAGGTGCAATTTTTAAAAAAAAATTTAATGCATGTAAATTTAACCTTGTGTGCGTTTTGGATTTTCTGTAAGCCACCAGAGTTATAAATCACAACATGTAAGCATTTTAATAGCAACCTGTCTGCAATTTTCAGTGATAGTTTACCAAGTGATAAGTAAACGATTCATCGAGGTGCTAAGTCTCTTTTTATGCCTCGGAGTCCGTCTGGGTGTGTACAACCCTGTTACCTATTCCTGCCACACCTGCTTGTACGGCTGTGTTCCGGTCTGATGGGTGTTTAGAGAGTATAATTTCAGATTGTAGGGCATTCCATCTTAGTCCTCACGGGTGACATGCATCTGTTGCTGAAGCAAAGAAGGAAGTCTATGTTGGTACCACACTTTTACCAACTTTTCACGAAGCAGCACTGTATTCACTGGCGTGTTCCGGTTTGAAGAGTAACGAAGCTGGTATAGTTACAGATTTAAGGCATTTCATTTTAAGATAATAGAATCAGGCGTTACTTTGCGAAAATCCATTATAATAAAGTTGGTAATAATTACCTCGCGTACATCCGATCGATAAAATAAAATGATGTGTCTCACCTAAGTCAATCAGTCACTTAGCGGTTAGCCACCGCAGAGTCTACATCACCTGAAGATGCCTCGTGTAGAGGCGAAAACCGTGTCGTATTGTCATCAATGGTGTATTTTTCCTAGTGTTGTGGTGTTGGGAGTAGTGCACGCAATTGAGGGAGGGCGGGAAGTGCTCTTCAAACCAGGTGCGACGCATCATTTTATTTTATCGAGCGGATGTACGCGAGGTAATTTTTACCAACTTTAATAGCATTTCATTTTGTTCCTCAGAGGTGATAACGCATCTTTAGCTTTCACTCCTTTAAGTAAGTTGCGTGTGTCCATGGGTCTTCTTTGTTCTGAAATGTCAGTGCTGTAAGCCTTTTGGTTTTATAGCTTCATCTAATAATTAACAGAGTCACGTGTTACTTTGCGGAAATCCGTTACATTCAAGATTTTAAAATTATTTAACTAAGATTCTAAGCCAACCAGTAGCCTGTAAACCACAGATCAACGAAATTCTATGATCAGTGCTGTAAACTGTAGCCTTCATTGTTTTATGTTGGTTGTGTTGGGTTGTCATTTTATATATGTAGTAGCCAATTACCATTAGCTGGACTGTAAGCCCGTTTGTTAATTCAATTTTACAAGAAAAAAATAAAACATTATAAGGAAACAAAAAAGTTGGTGGTTTAAGGATGATGAATGTGAACTATGCCAATACGTATTGAGGCGATAAGGCGGACTTTCTGTGCTTTTACTTTTTCCTTGTTTTAAAAACGCTCTTGAATGAAAGGGGCGCCCAGTACATATGTTTGTACTTTACTTTATTGATACCTCTGCTTTAGAAATGGGATCGATGGAATCCATGAATACTAAGAAGGTTTCGTTGCCTATTACAGTTTTGTTTTGTTTTTTTTTTCTGTTAAATGTTATCCAAATCTAGAGTAAATTGGAAAACTTTCGGACTACGACAGTCTATTGTCTATGGTGTCGTGAAAAAGTAGTCAAACATTAAAAAAATCTCAATTGATAGATAACAAGCTTGATATCGCCGAAATAATTAATTTTGTAGTAAATCTTCTTTACGCGCGACTTTTGGGAAACTCAGATCTTTTTGCACGGAAATAACGTTGAGCAAAATCTAATAAAGTCCTTTTACGCTGTAGTGTATGGTATAGCATGTGCATTACTTATATGTGCTATGTGTGTAACATTTTGAGTATGTTACGGTGGCAATACAGCCATTAACTAATAAAGGTTACTCCGAATATACATTTGTTTTCGTACATCTCTCGAACCCACAACATTAAAACACAGTTTCCGTATATAAAAAGAGAGACAGACTCATTATAGGTAATATTTTTGATCTATATACACATTACTAGCTGGCTCAACTTTCTTTCACTTCGGACTTTTTACAGTGTAAATTATAAAATAATAATAACTCGACCACAGCGCTACTTAACGGGACCAGATTTTGTGATTTTCTTTTTTTGCACTAAATCAACATAATATTATTATACTATGAATACTAATCATTTTGGTCCATAGAAATAAAATTTGTAATAACTTGATTACATAACCACCTATCGAATCTACAGATTTGTACCTATAGCAATAAATCAATGTCTCGACAAAACAAGTATTATGAGAATATACCTAAATCGGTTAAGAAGTTACACGAGCGCGACTACCTACTAACAGATGCACCAACTTTGAGTAGGTATATACGTAAGCATAGGTTGCTTATGTATAGGTACTCTAAGTGCACCAACGAGTATATAGTAATATATGTAGGTATATTAAATATTTAATATAAATTTTCAGTTTTTTTGCTAATAATAACTACTTGTTACTTTATTGATAAATATTTATTAATGTATAAAATATTTTTAATAAATCAATAATCATAAATAGATAAACACACACCAACAGAACGTGTTACTATTGTAAGCTAACACTCACGCACGCACGCACACACACAAACACACACACACACACACACACACACACACACACACACACGCGCACACACGCACACACACACACACACACACACACACACACACACACAAATAACGATTGCCAAAATTAATAAAATTTACTTCAACCTTATTTAAAAAACAATCATAAATTTATACGAGTAAGTATGTCTTTTTTAAATTCAATCCTCAATAGATATTTATTATATTAATATATTATGGTCTTATGCTTTCACAACGCCATGCTGAAGAACTATAAATCAATTTAGTTTTTGGGTCATGTCTAATAAGTTTTGAATACTCCCTCAGGACAATAGCGGTCAGGTGAAGCGTGCAAGGAGTCAATAAATGCATCATGTATCATGCATAATGTACAGTACTGTGCTTTGCGGAAATCTTCTATGTGCAACAGTGCTGGGGTGTGACGATGGTTTTATGAATCAAAAACTGGAATGGATTTCTATAACATTATAAAATAAAAAGGAAAATATCATAAAAAGAAACTAGTACGGGACAATTTAACAGTTTATACTCGCAAGCTAACATTACATCATTTTCTGTCATTAAATATAATAGTACAATGGTACAATTAAAAATTACTTTAAGCTAACAGTCATCTTAACTCGAATTATCTACATTCTAATTACATTTTAAATGCATTTTTGAGCAAATTTGCAGTACAATTCTGTTCTTTAACTTTCTTCTAAATAACGTAATTTAAAAAAAAAAGTATTAGTGATATAGACCCTCAGATGGGTCCAATTTCATTATCATTTTCTTTTACTTTATATAGACATAAATATCTATCCCCGTTACTTTTTCTCATGTTTCTATAATCACTAGTTAATTTGTTTGACTCTCAATCAAGAATTTTTCTTTCTACTACTTGTGAAGTGGGTCCGCGTCACACATTCTGTAGCGGACAGTGCTTTTATCCGGGTGTTAAATTATCTACAATCGCTTTAACTGCTTGCCAAGTCTCGCGAGCTGTTGAAACTATTTGTGATCCTGGCAGTAAAAAACCATAAGGCCCGAAGGAGTCACGAAGATCAACATGATATGAAAATTTGATACCCGCACGCGCTTTTGCCCAATCGTGGGACATACCAGATGCTGGTTGACGAATTTCGGCGGCAGTTCCAACCTAAAATGTTGATTAAATTATGTGCTTTAAAATAATTGCATTAATTAATTTTGTATTGAATGATTCCATAAATTTAAATATTTTTAAACCAAGAAATTATACCTGGTACTTGGTTCCATACATGTCAGCGAGAGCTGCTGTGGCGAGTTTGCCCATTTCCAACATAATTCCGTCATCAGCAAAAGGTGCGACTGCATGAGAGCTTGGTGTAATCCAAGCTTGGGAGTACGCGTGAAATGATAAATAAACCTGTGGAAGTAATAGAAAACGGGTAGAAGTAACAGTATAACATTTTATAAAATAATCAATGATCAAAATGTAACAAAATGCCACAATAGAATATTTTTATTTAAAGTATAACACTATAGTAAATTATGTACTAATTAAATATCGTTACAGCTAGCCGGCGAGTGCTTAGCCCCTGAATCTTGGTATAGTTCAAGCTAAGCGCTCAACGTAAATTTCACATTATGGTAGCAACCCGGGTCTGATCCCGCCGACTCCAATAAAACTGTTAATTGCAATTTTAATGATTACTGATTACTATGTGCTCGGCGGTGAAGGAATACATTGTAAAGCAACTTGCAGGTCTGAGAAATCAGAAAAGAATATTTCTAAGACATGTGAACTTTGCCAACATTCATTCGAGCAACGTAGCAGGCACTTTTTAACAGTGGTAGAGCAGCTTTTGCTGTCGTACGGATGGGCCGGCTCAAACCGGGGTGGTACCACGACCTCACAGCATACCAGCGTGTAGTAGAGGTTTATCTATGCGTTGCGCTTAGTGAGTGCAGGTGGCCGCCCCCCCCCCCCCTCCATCAACATGGTAGCGGAATTAAACAAAAGACTACCCCAGGAGGGTATCAGCACCCCTGGAGAATCCCTCGCTGAGCATCCACGACCAAACTACTCCACTTTTGAGCGTGGGTGCTCAGGTTGCCCCGTTTATTCTGGGGGGAGGGGGGGGGGGGCAAAATTTCGCTCGCGACTATACTGGCTCGGGGCAAGCGGAGCAATAAGACCAAGGCGACCCCTGTCACGCTATCCGTGAATTTTCAACATCAATTTGCAACATCAGGGGACTTAATTCCAACCTTAACGTGGTCCAATACCATCTAGAGACGGCGAAGCCGGCTTTGCTCTTTTTAACCGAGACTCAGGTGTCCTCTCCGACTGATACTTCATATCTCTCCTACCCGGGGTACAAATTAGAACACTCATTTGTGCCCCGGGCTGGAGTTTGCGTATACGTCAGAGAGGACATCTGTTTTCGACGCCTCGCAATATTGAAGGTACGGATCTGTCCATACTATGGTTGCGCATAGACAGCGACGACCATCCCCGCATCTACGGATGCCTCTATAGGACCCATAGCGGTAATGCTGACAAAAATCGACTCATCCACCACGTCCAAATGGCTGCAGACTCCGTGATACAACAGGTCCCATCCGCAGAGATCGCGATACTCGGTGATTTTAACGCCCACGACACTGAATGGCTTGGTTCCCGTTTAACCGATCATGCGGGTAGATCTGTCTATGACTTTGCCTTGGCATATGGTCTAACACAGCTGGTTACTTCGCCTACGCGGATCCCAGATGTGGAGGATCATGTACCTTCCCTGTTGGACCTTCTGCTGACTTCTCATCCGGACGGATATCAGGTCTCCATCGATGCCCCTCTGTGCTCTTCGGACCATTGTTTGAACCGGAGTACGGTGCCACTCAAACTCCCATCGCAGTTGCGATCTGCAGCTTGCCGCCGTGTTTGTCACTATAGGTCGGCCAATTGTAACAGGATGCAGTCTTTTTTGCATCCTACCCTTGGGGGCGGGTTTGCTTCTCACTGGAAGATCTCAGCGTTGTTGCCGATTCTGTTGCTGTTGTGGTACTTCAGGGTATGGAACTTTTTATTCCATCCTCTGTGGTGCCCATCGGAAGCAGATGCCAGCCATGGTTTGGTCGCTCCTGTAAAATAGCTATATATATAATAGCTATAAGTAGGAGTGTTACCGGGCCTGGGCTGACGCATCAACGTCTCGGGATGTAAACACCAGCGCTCTTAAAAAGAAGTATAATTCTGCCTTCAGGGCCTTCGATCGGCTCTGGCACAAAGCGCTTCTTTCGAAGCTTCCTTCCTATGGGCTTCCCGAAAAATTGTGCAAATGGATCACCAGATTCCTTGCTGATTGGAGCTTTAAGGTCGTAGTGCTCTGATTACAAGCCTATCAACGCTGGTGTTCCACAAGACTGCGTGCTATCACCAACGCTGTTTCTTCTGCACGTCAATGATATGTTGCAAACCGGTAACGTTCATTGCTATGCAGACGACAGCACTGGTGATGCCTTATATTTTTTTTAATAGGATAAGGGTGACAAACGAGCACACAGTCCACCTGATGGTAAGTGGTTTCTGTGGCCAATAGACATCTACATCTATCTTCGATTACGAATCAAAATGCAAATGCGTTGTTACCCGTGAGGACTAAGATGGAATGCCTCGTTTCCAGTAAAAAAGGTCTCCGGATCTCTACACTCACCATACGAAACACAGCAACGTAATTTTGGTATTTTACGCTGGTATTCTGTGAGAGCGTGGTCCTTCCCCGGTCGAGCCGACCCATTCGTACTACAACCATAGATAGCTGCAGCATGGCTCTACCACATAGTAAAAGTAAGTAAATTTATATACCGGCCGAGCCAATATTTCTCGGGAAAACGTCGCCGAGTACCGTAACAAAAATGTGTCTGAAGTCTTGTCTGACTGGGGGCGACTAAATCTAGTCTAGTTCAATCCCCAGACGACACAAGTTTGCGCGTAACTGCTAAAAAGAACCCCTTTGTCGTATCTCCTCAGTTTCAAGGCACTACCCTTGTTGCCTCAGCCAGTATTGGAATCCTCGGTGTCGACATATCGAGTGACGTGCAGTTTCGTAGTCACTTAGAAGGGAAAGCCGTATTGGTATTCAGCAGAGCGAGACAGTATTTCATGCCGGCACATCGCTTGCAACTTTACAAAGCGCAAGTTCGGCCTCACATGGAATACTGTTCTCATCTCTGGGCCGGGACACCCCAGTGCCAGCTCCTTCCACTTGATCGGCTCGATACACTGGCACTGCGTAGGAATGTTGCATCCCTTTGCATTTTCCATCGAATTTACCACGGGGAGTGCTCTGAGCAATTGTTCGGATTAATTCCAGCCGCCAAATTTCACGAACGATCGCGTCAAAATTCACGATACCATCCTCACCATCTGGGTGCTTGGCGGTCCAAGACTGTGCGTTTTACTAGTAGTTTTCTTCTTCGTACAACTTCTCTGTAGGATTGTTTACCACCGGCGATTTTTCCGGACCGATACAAATTAGGGACCTTCAAGAAAACAGCTTACACCTTTCTAAAAGGCCGGCAACGCATCTGCAATTCCCCTGGTGTTGCGGTTGTTCATGGGCGGCGGTAGTCACTTACCATCAGGTGAGCCGCATGCTCGTTTGGCCCCTATTCTATAAAAAAAAAACTTGTACGCCCTTAAGGCCTAAGAGTGTGTGTGAAATGTCTAAATTCTTGGATATTTAAGTAAAAATCACAAAAATTTTTGTTCATTTAATCCGCAAAAATACAGGCTGTTAGAAGAGGATTTAATAAATGTTTTAATTGAATAAAAGTTTATATTTGTCAACCCCGTAATAGAATAAAAAAAAGTCAAAGTGTTGTCAGAGTAAAAAAAAGTCAAAGGCAAAGTGTTGCTCAAGGCACTATGAATATAGCAGTTGATAAAAATGTTACACTCAAAACTTTTAACAAAAATTGTTACTGCAAATGGTCTTATAGAAAAAACTATTCCGCCGTGTCAGGTACACGAGCTATTATTAGAGGGAGAAGAGGTAAAATTTTGTTTTAGAGATGCGCGATCAATATTTTTTCGTCTTTTGTGCTTGTGTATAAAATAAAAAATAGCTTCAACCAAAGAGCACAACTGGCATTATACTCAGGCCCATCAATTGATATGGAAAAATATAATTTTACGTCGTTAAACGTCGTTAATGTTGCGTGCCGCTTGTGCCGCGTTGCTGCCACAACGGTACTCATATTCCATAATTACTCGAATTTTTAACGTATCGATGACGACGAAAAAGACTCAAATGCGATGAAAACATAATGTAATCAATAAAAAAAATAACTAATTTTGAAAAAAGAATTGCATGTTTTTATAACAAAATTAATTTGAAATTAGAATAAAACGAACTTCCAACCATCAAACTTCAAATAACAATGGCGGCACATGCGTTGTCATTTTGTAGGGCTAAGAAAAATGCCTCACATACTGGCTTTCTTGCCCTTGAAGTAGGAAAATAGTGTTATACTTCTGCATTGCGGCACATATACGAGTAAGAGTTAAGGGAGTGGTACCTACCTAAATGCGGAAATTTCCGGAATACCTAGGAAGAGAAGGAGTTCTATCAACTAGAATGTGTACGAATACATTCCCAGAATGTTAATATGAATAAACCTAATTACAGAGATATTATTGCGTGTAATTTAACAATTTTTTCCCGATGTACTACAGCTATATTAGTGGTTTAATTACAGCACGAATGGGTCGGCTCGACCGGGGAAGGACCACGCTCTTACAGACTACCAGCATAAAATAGCAGCTGAACGCTGCCGTGTTTCGTACGGTGAGTGTAGAGAACTGGAGACTCTTTTTACTGAAAATGAGGCATTTCATCTTAGTCTATAACTATATTTTATATTTTATTTTATCGTTATTTTCGTAATAGTAATTTTTTAAATAGATATTTTAAAAATTCTTAAATTTTTTTATCTTTCGAAACAAATCCCTTTAAGTTAAATTATTATGAAGTTCAAATCGGTGAAATTTCTAGCTAAAAGTAGAACTTTTGTCAAACAATGAGGGCATTAGGCATCAACCACATAATTCTGTTTTGTAGTTTGTTCCGTAACAATAAAATTTACAATTTGTTGTAGAGAAAGGGTGAAAAGGTTTTCGTATATAGTGTATTAGAGAATGCTTCAAAAGTAACTATGCGGTTAAATGCTTTAAACAATCTTATTTTCTTATTTCTTGTGGTTTACCTCAGTTCTAAATGAATGATAAATTGCTGCGATTGGCGATGTGCATATCTTGTCATCATATTATGTGTTGAAGAATTTTCTTTTTTATGACCAACTTTCTTTTGCTTCTTCGTAGAACGGAAATTGGTAACTTACATTGATTATAGCAGTAAATACTTTAATTAACTTCTCAGAAACAAATGTTACAATTATTTTTAATGTTTATCTTCATACAACTCCTTAACACTTCATACTCAAAACAAGGTTATCTCTATATTTTATGGGATAATGCCACAGATTCGGTGAGGATGCTACAAAAAGTTTACTTTCTCTAACCAAATTTCGGGACAACTTTGTAAAGCTTTTTGTTGAAGGATATCGTCAATCGCCACATTATATTGATGGGCAATGTCATATACAAGCATAAAATTGGACCCATTTGCCACCAGTGTGTTTGAAATATAGGTTCCAGTTCGGTATTATGCAGAAGATATATTGCCTTACATTCAAACTCGGTTAGTTCTTCCGCCAAGGCGTATTAATACCCACACCATGAGTATTTCAGCTTGATGTGTTTTGAATGGTTTTTACGTCTAGGTATTCACTAAATACGTCTTCTTTGTGAATCTAAATAAAAGTCGTATCGGGATTCATCCGTGAGTTACTCTAGATCTATTCCTAGACCAGTGGCTACTGCACCAAGTCAAATGATCGTTGCCTCCTTAAGCTGAAATCTGAAGTGGTCTACGAGCATTAAGGTTGGTTTCGTGCAGACTTCTCACAATTTGATCGCCAGGAACCTAGTATTCCGACTGCAACTTTAAAACCAATAGACTATCTCAACACGCAACATTAATTAACACACATACATTAGACATCTCGCCAGTGTCCCGGAAGCGAGACTACAATCTTGATATGAACCTTTGACTGAATCCTTCCTTAAGCAAAATAAATCGCCGTCCATTTATTGCGCATACAGTTTCTAAAACTTATCAGTCTTTTATAAAGTTAGATAAGGTGTAATTTAGATAGCATATTAAAAGTGAAAACTGCAGCTCGAATCACTTTTATTGGCATCATTAGAATAACAACAAGTAATCGTGTTCGTGCATCGGATACTGTATAATGTATATCTTGTATGCAAAATGATACTTTAAATTTATTAACTGATCTAACAATAGGTATTTAAGTGTGTTATATGTGTGTATTTAAGTATCAAATATTTGTTGAAGACATACTTAACTTACGAGGTCTAAAATTTTCAGACTACTAGTAAAAAAGTGACAAATGAGCGCCAAGTTCAAAGAAGGAAGGCCACAAATGTTAACCCTGAGGACTAAGATTAAATGCCTTACAAGTCTTGTTTTCTTCAACAACATTAATAAAAAGATATAAAATTCAAATTTCAAACTTTCTACTTCTGTTTATAAATATACAAAACAAACAAAGCCTCAAATCATTGTTTAAAATTGACAGTTGAGATAACCTAACAGTGTTGTTTTACCTATTATTTAAAATTTCACATGAGAAATAATAAAATACTGTTTAAAATATAAATTGAGACTCATTTAATTAAATGACTGTGCATAAGGCTTCGTCACGATGCTAACCCAACACCTATAATATTTCTATTAATGTTTGAATGAATTCTAAGATATTTAGTAGCCTAACTCGCTTTAAAATACATATCATTTTAAATAATGACTCTAACCCCGCATTGCAAGTAGCTTTAGTTGGAAGACTGTTTATTTTATGCCGTTATCGGAGATGAACATTTTATCTTTTATAATATAATCTCCAATTACCGCGAAATTTTACTATCGTACCGTTACTAAAATTTGTTAATACTCAGTGAAAATTGGAATTCCACTTAAGCATATTTGTTACGTTGTACTTAATTATTCCCTTAGCTGACGATAACCAAATCTTTCATGCAATTATAAACGCGTTATTATGTTAACACACTCTACAATGGAGGAGAACAAGAAAAAGAAGAAAAATGTTAGTTAAATGGAAAAAAATAACAATAATAATAATAATGTCCTCCAGACCGAAATTCGGTCACGGCGGCCAGTCTCAACGGAGACTAGCCATCGGCGCAGTACAGGATTATAGTGCCCAAGTGTATGCGCAAACACAGGTGCACTCTCTATTCCCTTACTCATAGTCCGATGGGACGGTAATTCGAAACGACCGGAGAGAGATCAGGCGCAGGACCAACGGCTTTACGTGCTTACCGAGGCACGAGGGTGTAACACCGCCAATTTCCTGACTCCGGGCAATTACTGAGAATTCCTTGACGAAAAAATTCAATAAGTGATTTTTTTGGTCCGACCCGGGATGGAACCCGGGACCTCGTGATCAGGAGTCGCGATTACAACCACTAGACCTACTAGGAGGTCCGAAAAAAAGTAAATTATAACGTAATAAATGAATACGTTGATTGCACCGATAAATAAGGAACATGAACAAGTTGACTGAGAATGTTAAGTAAAGGCTTCTCGCAGGAACTGACGTTCATTGACTTTTTGTGTTTCACACTCAGTTTAAAGAACGGAGTAATCCACTCTGGGCTAATCGTTATGAAGATGTCATTTGAGAAATTTTCTTTATTAATGTACTATAATTACTACATTTAGTTTTTAGTTTTGTTATAACAGCAAAATTAGCATTCGTTTAATTGGCTATTGTGATTTTTTTCCCTGTATTGTTTTAAGGTGTCTCAGTTTGTTAGTTTATATTCTTTTTTTATATTTTTGGTATTTCTCGGTTTTTGATTTATTTTTAGGTTATGTTTCTAACATTTTGTAATTTATGTTAAGTATAAAGTGTTTACTCTTCTTGTGAAGCATGTTGTGGCTAGCCTTAATAGGTTTTACATTTAAAAATTAAGCTTATATATATTTTTTGTGAACATGTATTATTGTAATTACCTCTGGCTGTCCTTAAAGAAATAAAATAAAATTAAATTAAATTAATTACCTTAATTTGCCCCCTCTGTTCAGCAAGGAACTCAGATACCGCGCGTGTCTCAGGCTCGCTGAACGGATGTGGTCCCGAGTAGTTATCCGCGCAGGGATCACGCGAGGAGTCCTTTTCCCCCCAACGGTAATCCCAGTTGCGGTCAGCGTTTACGCCCACACATTCAGAACTGCCCCAGTTCCATGGAAACCTGAATTTGATACAATTTCATTAAATAATCTTCCATTGAAATAATTTTAACAGTATTGTATGGTCTAAGATTTAATGCCTATCACGAGGCCAAGTGGTTAGAGAGCCGTGTTACTAGTACTAAGTCGAGTCGCAAGTTTTGGGATTCGATTGCGACCTACAGCCAACATTTGTACAAACACAGAAATTATCGGTTTTCGTGTGTGGCTGTTGCTTTTGTACGCCTGACACTGCATATATACAGCTGGCCTATCTTCGATCTTATCGTTTCACCGGTCACGACGAGTTAGTATTCCTGTGTTCGAGTGTACACTTCTAGCTTGGCGTTAATCTAGGAGGAGGGTTAGGTCGTGACCCCCACTCAAAAGTTAATATAATTTGTTGAAAGAATAATTTTGCCCTTGATGAAAAAATGGCATGAGTGAAACTCCAGTTTTTAAACCCCTCCAATCTTAACTCTCACATTTCTTACGCAACTGGTAACTTTAGGTTAAAGAGCATATCACCATAACAATTCATAAAATTAAAATGTTTCTAGGGTAGACTGGGAGAGAATACCTAAAGACATTTAGCTCATCCTTTGTAAATCTTATTATGTAGTTTATGACAATAAGGTACAGATAAATAATATTATATCATAATCTATTTTGTTACATATGATGTGTATTTCTTTTGATTTCTCTTTTTTACCTATGTTTTCTATTGCTACAAACTCTCACCACTCCATGGGTTGACTGGTAGAGAATGCCTTTAGGCATTAAGTCCGCCCTTTGTAAACTATTTTCCTAAGGGAATGCAATAAAGATTAAAAAATAAAATAAATAAATAAAATTTACAACAGCTAATGAGACAGTAAAACAAAAAAAAGTTGTTTACGGCAATAGTAAACATTAGTTGATACTAACTTTACGGATTTTATTGTTTTAATTGAAATAATCTCTAAATCCACTTATAAACCACAAAAAACTCGTAACTCGTACATGTATGACAGCATGTATGATACGATATGCGGAGGAAGTATCGTTTTTGTTTTAACATTATCTTAGGAAAGTCGTGTTCCCGTAGCATCTCGTTTGAGATAAGCAAATTCGTCCGGTTTATCTAGTCACGTATTCCGTAATGCAAATATAATAGTACTTCCGTTACCTTTGCTACTTATATGGTAAGAAAATAAAGTTAAACTTATGACCTAGATCGATAAAGAAATTGTATTTAGAAACATAGTTTCCTTAAAGTTTTTTCTTAATATACAATACCGACCAGCCACTGTAGTCATCGGAGTGGTCGGGGAGGCGGGAACGCGTTTTCATCCACAGTCTATCGTAAGTATGGGAGTGTTCGTAACCATCTGGATTTAATACAGGCAAGATGTAGAAGTCCGCTATTTTGAGCATTTCGTAATCAGGACCTGTAAAAAAATTGTATTAAAACATGCGAAGTAAGCTAGTTTTACTTAAAACTATTACTACAATTCTCACCGGCATCGGCACCACTAAAATGTGTTTAATTATTGTTTTAGTACGAAAAAATTATCAACGAGGTGGCGGTGATGTATAATCGTTAAAATGTTTCGAGGAAGTCTGCCAATATACACTGAAACAGGGCGACGGGCTTGTTCGTGGGCCAAAACCCTATTCAAATTAGAACAGGTCTGCGGTACTAAACCACTTTTACTATTTTAAATGTACCAATAATTCTTCAGGAATAATTCTTAGACTCTTCATAAGCGGTACTATTAATTGCGTACTGCTGGGTATACTGGCATTGGCACGTTAATATGAATAGGTCGGATGTATGTGTATGTTCCTTGTGACTAGAAAGTGAGACAGCCGTTCTACTCTACTGCCGAGCTTAGGCTTTAAATAATACGGTAACTAGCATATAACTTGAAAGACTGCCCATCCTTAACGCAGAGTAGGCAGGTGGTGCGCTGATATGCCCAGTATTCACCAATCTTTAAAATCTGGTTTCGGCATCTTCTAATCGATCTCCTTCGTCTGTTCGCAGGGTACATCGCACGTTGATATTTGGTGAAGTTCGTTACACCTATAATATCGGTGACTGCCTCGTTGGTCTAGTGGTTGTAGTAGTGCGACTGCTGATCATGAGGTCCCGGGTTCGAATCCCGAGTCGGGCCAAAACTGAGTTATTGAGTTTTTCCATCGAGAAATTCTCAGTAGCTGCCCGGAGTTAGGAAGTTGGCGGTGTCTCACCCCCGTGCCTAGGAAAGCACGTTAATCCGTTGGTCCTGCGCCTGATCTCTCTCCGGTCGTGTCGGTTTACCGTACCATTGGGATATGAGAGTGAGGGAATAGAGAGTGCACCTGTGCTTGCGCATACACTTGGGCACTATAATTGTCCTGCGCAGATGGCTAGTCTCCGTTGAGACTGGCCGCCGTGACCGAAATTCGGTCTGGAGGACATTATTATTATTATTATATGGGGTATCTATATAGTTCACTCATCTGGTTGGGCTGTATAAATATATAATTGTAAATGAAAATGATAAACATACAAAAATATCAACAAAATAAAATAAATACATAAGAATACATAAATAAATAAAAACCCAACCAGATGGAAGCCCTCGGCAGGGGAGACCAAACGGCCGAGGGTTAGGGGGAAAGGGAAAGAAACCGGCGGACGATGCGGGCGGTATCGAGGAGCACCGCCTTCTGCATTTGAGCTTGGAGCGTTCCGTCACGGAGTCCCAGCCGCCTTAGATGACCCGAGAGGCTGACTGGGATTGACTCGTTCGCAGATACGACTACAGGTATAATTTCGGCCGGTAGTCCACCCCACATGTCGGTCACCTCGTGAGCCAGGTCCAGATATTTTGTTCGCTTATCTGTTTCGGCTTTTACGAGGTTCTTGTCATACGGAATTGTAATGTCGACCAAAAATATCCTTGAATGTGCCCGGTCCATCAGCAAAATATCAGGCTTATTCGCAAGAATGGTCCTGTCTGTGATGATGGGCCGGTCCCAGTGGAGCCTGGCGCGGTCATTTTCGAGCACGGCTTCCGGCATATACTTATAATAAGGCAGTTTCCGATCCACGAGACCGTATTACAGAGCGGGCTCCTGGTGTAGAATGCTAGCTACTAGGTTGTGCCTATGCAAGTATTCAGAGTTAGAAAGCGCCGAACAACCGGAGATGACATGCCTAAGTGATTCACTGGGATGGCGACAAGCTCGACAAATGTCGACGGTGCCATCCTTTAGGATGTATCTCCGATAGTTATTGGTCTTAATAACCTGATCCTCTATTGCACAGAGAAAACCCTCGATTTCCCCGAAGAGGTCACCAAAACGTAGCCAGTGGAGGGAGGCAACTGTGTCTACGAAAGGCTCATGTAGAGCCTTGTAGAACCTCCCGTGGAGCTCCTTCTCCTTCCATACGGTCTCCCGGTCGGAAATGCTCTGTACTGCTGGGTCTTGCCATTGCTCGTTGGCTAAGTATAGAGGGGTAAGTCATTTATCACAAGAAATAACGTCCCTATAGAATGGATCATCCGCTCTCGTCAGAAAGTAATTACGAAGGCTGCACACTTCGCGATTATGCATGGTAAGCGCGCATAAAAGGCCACGCCTACCATGTTTCCGCGGCAAGTACAGCCTCATTACTGACGATCTCGGATGATGCATCCTGTGGGACGTCATAATAGTGCGGACTTTTCTATCCAGAGCGTTCAATTCTGTCTGAGTCCACCTGAGTATGCCAAATGTATACATGAGAACGGGCATGATCCAACCGTTATATGCGTGTGTTTAACACCAGACAAAAGACTGTTAAGCACTTTTGTCAAGCGTGCACAAAACACATCGCAAACTGACTGCCTCATGACCGCCTCATCAATACTTATGTTCTGTGACATACCCAGGTAACGGTATGTTTCAGCCTCGGATAGGGTCTTTATGTTGATGGGCATAGACAAGTCTATTAGATTTAGCAACCCTTCCCCTTTCGACATGGAGGACCGCACACTTATCCGTCCCCAGTTCCATTCTAATAGAATTGCTAAAATCACAAGTTATGTTTAGCAATTTCATAAGATGAGAGTGACTGGAGGCGAATAATTTGAAATCATCCATATAGAAAAGGTGGGTCACTTTTGTACCTCCTTTCCGAAAATGAAATCCCCTCCCGGAACCCTCCAGTAAGGTACTTAGAGGGTTCAAAGAGAGGCAGAACCAGATCGGACTCAAAAAATCGCCCTGGAAGATACCCCTTCTTATCCTTATGTGGTTCTCCGCAGCCGTCATCCGCTCGCCTAGATGACAAAGGATCCTACTCCATTGCCCCATACACTGCCCGAGGAAGTCTCGAACTGTACAGTTAACCTTATACAGCTCGAGGACCCTCTTAAGCCATGTATGATGCACCAAGTCGAATGTCTTTTTGTAGTCTATCCAGGCGGCAGAGAGGTTCCGACGGTTGCGTTTAACCACCTTGCCAATGACCGCGTGAATGAGGAGTGGTTCCTTGGTTCCACGACCACCGCCCCTACATCCATTCTGAGCACGCGACATCACCTGATTTGAGTTCAGGTGACAAGTGATTTCGCGCTCAAAATGAATGTTAGTGTCTTGTATATGGTAGGTAGACACGTTATGGGGTTTTGCTCGGGTCTGTGCAATTCCGATCTCTAGGAACCAAATGAGTGATCCCAGTAGTGAATAGGCTTGGGAGTGACTTTTGGTCGAGAGCCTCTTGAAACTGTCGGGCGAGCACAGCGTGACACACCACGAACCCCTTCAGCCAGTAGTGATGCAGTCCGTCGAGTCCCGGACCTTTCCAGTTCGGGGCCCTACGGACCGCCTCAGCTACGTCATCCGGCGTTATGATGATGGGGTCCATGGGCGTAACATTCGCACACTGACTCGCCACAACTTCCGTCCAAGGGCCCTCGTTGTGGTTAACGGGCTTTGACCACAGGCTGCGCCAGAATGCGATAGTGTCGGGCTGATTCGGTGCTGTGCCCGTTCCACGTACCATTGTTCGCTCCAATGATTCATAGAGCCTCTTCTGATCACTCTGGAAGAGACGTTTCTGGTTGAATGGTGTCAACCTCTCGGTATATCGCCGAATCCGCTTCCCCCAAGCAGTGTTTCTCTGCTTCAGGTCGTCTATGCGCTCCGTCAGTTTTTGCGTTATATCCAGCTGGGACAAACATCAGTTTGTCCCAGCTGGATATAACGCAAAAACTGAGCAAACGCCATCCTGACGGTGCGCACAATTCTCGGCCTATTATTGCCAGACCTGAAGCTTATCAGTCTGCCGATTATGATTATTATTATTATTATAATATCGTCTTCTTCTGGTAACGAGGCAATCTATTTATTACCCTGAGGTGCGACAACGACTCGTTATTTTAGTTCAAGTGGGCTGTGGTGTTTGCTATCCTTACTAAATAGGTTTGCCACACGATATAAAATAAGACATATGTGCCTTTAGTTTAGTTAAGGTTTTTGGGTAAGGTTTGTATTTAAGTTTTAAACCTATTTATATATTAAAAATACGTGAAGAAAAGAGCTTGTACCGTATTTTAAGTTTTATACGCCTACGTAGATGTATGAGATTTGACATAGTTACAGTTTACGTATAGAAAGACCGCAAGAAGCTAAAATTAATTTCATTTTTCGTACAAATACATCAAAATAATCTATAGTCAAATAGTCACACAGAGTAAAGATTGAAAATTTAAAATGTTGCCAACAAAATAATTACAGAGAGTAATAAACAGTCGTGAAAAACAGAAATGTTGCAGCAAGTACCACGCGCCGAAATAACCTCAGGAGCAAGGTTACCAGATGGAAAATTGAGAAGTCCTGATCAATAACCTAATTTCCATACAAAAATCCTAACACTTTGTTACAAACGTAACTAAGAACAAACTAATCAGTAATTGATACTCCATTTTTTGAAAAATCGAAAACGTCTGACATTTCTAAAATGCAACTGTAATCCTGACAAGAAATCCTGATGTATGATATCCCTAGTCAGGAGCCACCGGTACAAAGTCGTTTTTTGTTATAGCTGGCGCGGTAACGGAATGGCTTTGATTATATACCGATACGGAAAGGTTAAATATATTTTTGTTTACACACAAAATTACGTAAGATTAAAATCGAAAAATGTTCGCGTCAGTAATTATCGAAAAATCTTCAAATTATACATCCTGATGCTAATGTTATTTATTTATACATTTAAGGGTTAACAGTAGGTAAAATTATTTAGTAAATCAACGGTGAATCGCAAATGCTACTTGGAGGATTGCTTTAAAAATTATAGGTTTATTTTATACGCGGTAGAGCCATGCTGCAGCTATATTAGTAGTATAGTTGTAGCACGAATGTGTCGGCTCGACCGGGGAAGGACCACGCTCTCACAGAATACTAGCTTGACACTACTGTGTTTCGTATGGTGAGTGTAGAGAACCGGAGATACATTTTACTGGAAAAGAGGCATTCCATCTTAGTCCTCACGGGTGACGACGCATCTGTATTTTGATTCTTTATTGAGGATAAATGTAGATGTCTATGGGTCACAGCAATCACTTACCATCAGGTGGACTGTGTGTTCGTTTGTCACCCTATCCTATAAAAAAAATAAAGATTTATATATAAATAAATAAACTATCTCTATTACTCCTAATCGTCCGCGATTAAAACTTACGGTATGAATTCGCTGATATTTATAATATAATAAATAACTAACCTAAACCCTTTTCACCTTCCACCAAAGCTTGTAGCATCCAAGTGGTTACAGCTGGCGCTATCCATTCGCGTGCGTGAGCGCCTCCATCAATCCACACCGCTGGTTTCATATGGGATTTAAGCTTCCATTTCTTTTGCCCTTTGCTTGCTGAACCTTTTGCTTGAGTATCATTTGATGGAAGGGAAACCTTTAAACACACATCCTTCATTAACCACCGTTAATATTGATTGTATATATGACAGCCTCATTTGTCTAGCAGTTGTAAACGCGACTTCTGATCATGAGGTTCCGGGTTTGAATCCTAGGTGATAAAAAAATCAGTTACTGAGTTTTTTTATCAAGAAATTCTCAGTAGCTGCCCGGAGTCAACTGGCGGTGTCTCAACCCATGCATCGGAAAGCACTCTCCGGTCGTGTCGGTTTACCGTCCCATCGGACTATGAGAGCGAGGGAAATAGAGAGTGCACCTGTGCTTGCGCATGTACTTGGACACTATAATCCTGACTTGCGCCGATGGTTAGGCTCCGTTGAGGCTGGCAGCCATGACCGAAATTCGGCCTGGAGGACATTATGTAATTGTACCTACAACAATGTTTTTCGTCTGTGAGTATTGTAATAGGTAACACATAACGGTATACCATCCTATACATATATGCCACATGTATAATACCAGATACAAAACGGGAAGGAGCGTTAAAGGTGCACGAGATATCTGTTACTGAGATCTCCAATCCGCTGGTCTAGCGTAGTAATTACCGTGGGAGAGGCCCGGGTCTAGAGGTAGAATGAGCTAACAATGAACAAGTGCAAAAATGATTGATCGATTACCTTAACAGCAACAAGTGGTAAGCCTTCTGATGATCTACCTAATGGCACCAACTCCACAATATCGGTATTTGAATGTTGCAAGTATTCTAAATAGCGAAGAATATCTGCATAACGATGGTATCTTCGCCACGTCATAGGATGACCGCGTAGTTGCTCCAGCTCAATTCTTTGCCTTTTGGAAAGTCTTGGATTCTCAAATGCAATCGCTTTCTAAAGACATGTGATGGATTTTAAATCTTTACGAATATCAATACAAAAGTATAATATAAAAAAATGTGCATTACCTGTAGGTCGTAGATAACAACATCGTAATCAATTTTATTAGATTTCAAATGATCTTTTACATCTGCTAAGAGATCTGGAGGAACGAGAAGGTCAGTGGAACCATTTAGAGATGGTGGAGTCCACCACATGAGACCAGAACCTTCACCTTCTTCTTGAAGGTCTAGCATTTCTTGTACTTTCCAACGCACATCTGGGTATGTCCTTAACAATTGATAGCCTTTATAATTCTTTTTCATAGATTTCTTCGCTGGTTTTTTGTCTAAAAATATAAGTAGGAATGTAGGTTAGGGAACCATGAACATCAGATTAATTAAAAAAACTCTACTGTTGTTAAAGTGTAAGTCAATTTCAGAATTATGTAAATTTAGCGCTGCTAATACAAAGATGTATGCTAATACAGTATGTATAAAGGTTAGATATGTAGTTGCGATAATCTTGATTTCGCTTTCATTTACGTGCCTTTGCATAAGCCTGTTGCTATCGACATTAACTTACTATAGTCAATTGATGCCGGTACGTTATCATTTTCTTCAGAATCCAATAAGAGTTGGAACCAGTTGCTGGTCGAAGTTGTCAAAGGAACAGGAGTTGTGGTTGTGGTCGTTGACTGCTTAGCTTGTGTTTCTTGTAACCATTGGCTGCCGAACCACGACAGTCTTGAACTCCACAACCATTTATATATCCGGGAGATAATATCTGGGGACAAGAAATAAAAAAATCAGATGTTATGCACTTATGTGTTGAGAAAAAATTATTATATATGCACGCATTATGATGTACGCAAAGTAATTTTTTGTCAACTTTAATATAATGGACTTCCGCAAAGTAACGCCTGATTCTATTAATTATTATTATATACGTCTGTTCTAAATATTATGTACTTAAAAAGGGACGTGAAAACGGAAAGGAATCATTTTGATTATATAAAATATTAAGATGTACCTCCGCAGTAGCTCTAAATAACACTTAAGTGTCGCCGATATATTCATGGAGGACTTTGAGGAGAAAGCCCTGCTTACTTTTCCTGTAAACCCAAGATTCTACAAGCGGTACGTAGATGACACTTTCACAATTCTACCTTTAGATAAAGTAACTGCATTTTTAGACCATCTTAACTCATTAAATTCTGAATTTTCACTATGGAGTTAGAGGCAAACATTTCTTTAGCTTTTCTAGATGTGTTAGTAATTCGGAATCCTGATAACACCTTGAGCCACACTGTGCACTGTGTATAGAAAAAAAACCCATACAGATAGATATTTTAAACGGTGATTCTCACCACCATCCTTCACAGTTAGCTACCGTGGGTAAATCTTTGTTTCAGAGAGCACGAGGGATCTGTGACAGTAAACACCTGGCCGCCGAGCTCCAACACGTCAAGCAAGTTTTGCACGACAATAAGCTTCGGGACCCGCGCCTACGTCACAGTGAACGAGTGAAGCCGGCCACAGTCGTGCGAGTGCCTGCTGTACTGCCATATGTCAAAAGTGTCACTGACAAGATTGGCTACATCTTGAAGCATGCTTCCATTAAAACATATTTCAAGCCGCCGAAGAAGATTAGTCAGTTTTTACCATCAGTCAAGTCTAATATTCTTCTGCAAGATGCAGGAGTGTACAAGCTTGATTGTGAATGTGGTCTCTCTTATATAGGATAAACTAAAAGATCCATAAAAACCCGCATTAAAGAACACATAGCTGATGTGAAGAATCGATGTTCCGGGAAGTCTGCAGTCTGTGAACACGTACAGGATCGCCCCCGTCACTACATTAGATTTGATAGACCACAAATCCTCGCTAAAGAACACCGATTCCTCCCAAGGATGATTCGCGAGGCTACTGAAATTAAAAAAATACATCCTAATTTCAATAGAGAAGATGGCTGGGTGCTACCATCTGCTTGGGATCCCATAATTAATAAAATTAAATCCCAACCCAAGCATACAACTTCATGTACTGTAAGTTCATACTGCGTAGATCGGAACCAAAATTAATAATTTTTAATCTGAAGGTAGACGTGGTTAACTATTACATTGGGACGTCATACACCTCAGTCCCCCCGTGACCATGGGTGCTGAAAAGTGCCCGAAACGTCGGGAATATAAAATAAGTAAATATACGCGATAAAATCCGAAAAATTAGTTTTATTTAAATGTGTAGTGTTCGCGTAAATATAAGAAATCATAACACTTAAATATTTCAAGTAGGAGTCATAAACGTTTTCGCAATGTCAGAGAACTTTAAAAGGAGAAACTTATGAGTTAGTGGAGCACGCATTACTCGTTATACTTTTAACTAGCGATAGCAACTTGCAACCAGTAAGTAGCCCTGAAGGAAACCTGTCTGGTAGTAGATCGGTTGGCGATTTCCGCATTAATACCTAACTACTAATAATAATTGTTAACAGGAAAGTCTTCTGTTCCATACGATTCATCAATATATTTATAGGTTCAAATAAGCCAATCTTCAACTTGACCTCAATTGCAATGTTTAACGGGAATACGATTTAATTTAAATGGCATTGTACAAATATTTAATTATGATGTGAAGTAATTATAGTAGTATGAAAAAACTAATTATTTTCTTTTATCAAATCAGAGAAATGTTCCTGTTATCTACAACCTGTTAACTATAGTAACTAGTGTTTTCGATTTATCGTCACTGTCATGATCTGTGGTGTACCACGAGATTATCTACAGGATAAATTTCTGTGTGCACAGGATTCGCATCATAATTCTGTCTTCTTCCTTCCACCATCGGACAATCAAACGTCCGGCCAATCTGTATGCTTTTATTATCGACACACTATGCATTCTAACTAAACGGTTGTCTTCAAAGCAAGATTAAATAGGTTTTTGGTAAGTTACGTCAGTGCGGAGTGATTAGGGACACTAGTCAAGCACTGGATTAGAATTGCTAAAGAAATATATATCGCGATCCTGACACACCTCTCTCACCTCCTTTACATCCATATATCTACGCATAGACGCTCGTGTATGTGTATGTCAAGATCGCGCCAAATGGAAGTCCGTAGTCTCTGCCTACCCCTCTGGGTGACAGGCGTGAGGCTGCCCTAAGGTTGACTGGCAGATAATGTTTTTAGCATTTAGTCCGCCTTTTGTTCCTGTACTTAATATGTAAGGTTCAATAAAGTTTAAATAATGAAATAAAAATGTTTACAGCCGCTCAAAGAATGCCAGAATACTTCGTTTTGAGAACTGTAATATCCTGCATATCTCAACAGGACGTCATTTCATCCAGGGTGCTGTTCTACACTTGGCTTAACAGTATGTAGCACCAGTATGTGGTAAAATTTGGCTACCCCTTTCCCCCCATCTATCGGTCAATTGCCACTTTAGTTACCTTTTCCATTGGGCTATGTTGCTTACTGTGGTTTTACTGCTAATATCTTCGTTACGGACACAAACCAGAGAAGTTAGAGTATATCTCTCACAATAACTCGTGTATATAACAATTAAAATTTTAAGAAATGATATCTAGGTAGTTAGTACCTGAACTACCGAGCTTTACTCGGCGTTAGAATTAAATTATAGTTTTCCAGGAACCAGATAAACTTGGCAATTAAAACATCATCTACATACAAAATTGCATTTAAATAATGAGATCCGTTTTATGTAATGAAAATTTAAAAAAAATGAAATATAAATATTACAAGTAATAAATATCATTGAAGTTAATATAATTTTGTCATAATATACAATGTGTAATCAATTTTTATTTTGAAATATAGAACTTTATCGTTACCAAAACATTAAAATTTTAATAAGAAGTACAACGTTTACCCTTAAGGTAAAAAGTGATGAAGCTTTAAATGTAAATGTAAATATCATTCTAGTTGTTACCTTGAACTAATCATACTCATAAGTCCACTTAAAAGGGTAAAAAGTAAACTTTAAAAAACGTAAAACACAACTTCGGAAACGAAGGAATAAATAATTTGCCAAATTAAAGTTGGTAAAAATTACTTACGTGAAGTAATTTTTACCAACTTTAATATAATGGACTTCCGCAAAGTAACGCCTGATTCTATTAATTAAATAATTTGCCTATAATAGCTGCTTTCTTTGATACAATATACCTTAGCAACGATTCAAAGGCCTTAATCTAGTCGTAAGTAAGTGAAGTAAGTTACGATCATATTATAAATATGTACATACACATATAAACTATCACGCCTGTTATCTAGAGTAGTAGGCAACCTCCTTCGATTCTTTTATATCCATTTATTTGCGCATACATGCTCCTCGGATCAGGGTATTCTCAATTTGGCCCTTCAATATATCTTGGTCTGGGAAGTCCCTTGCCGACTCCGCCACCCCTGCAGTATTATTCTTTCCTAATTCAGCCTTCGATATGTCCAAACTACCGAAACATTCTTTTCATAAACCTCATCACAACATCTTCTTGCAAACTAATAGAAAATAAAGTATAAATTTACTAATGTTGAGAATAAGTATTTTTTTTTATAGAATAAGGGTGACAAGCGAGCACACAGTCCCCCTGATGGTAAGTGATTTCTGCGGCCCATAGACATCTACACATATCCTCTATTATAAATTAAAATGCAGATGCGTTGTCACCCGTGAGGACTAAGATGGAATGCCTCATGGAAAAGGGTCTTCGGTTCTCTACACTCACCATACGAAACACAGCAGCGTTAAGCGGTTAGTTTACCTTCCCCGGTCGAGCCGACCCATTCTTGCTACAACTATACTACTAATATAACTGCAGCATGGCTCTACCACGTACAAAAACGTATAAATTGACTGATGTTGCTCTTGATATACCGCAGATATTCTGCGGTTAGCTAGTATCCGAAAACATACTATATAAATAACAATATTATAATTATATTTTACATATTGATATTAATTTTATAAATAAATCACAATGGCACTGATTATACACTTGTTCTTAGATACTTAACTACTACAGTTCAGTTCATATAGCTTAAAACGATGAGGAGGAAAGTTCTCGAGTAGCAGTTTCGTGATCGCAAGTGCAGTAAAGAATACCATACCACTAAAAGAAAGTACCCATAAATTAGAAGTATTGTATAATTTTAAACTCTAATTCAAACGCTTAAGAATCGGCGTTAAATCCTAGAGGTGTTTAGCTTGAGTTGTATTGGTTGTTATATAGTAATTTTTTTCTGATATCTTTGATTCATTATATAGAATAATATTTTTATAGTATCAACATGACAAACGGGCTCACAGTCCAACTGATGGTAAGTGGATGTTTGTGGCCCATAAACACCTACATCTATCTTCAATTAAGAATGAAAATACAAATGCGTTGCCACCCTTGAGGACTAAGACGGAAAGCCTTACATACAGTAATAAGGGTGCATGTTGGGAAGTTCATAAGGTAGGATTCAGTGCAGTGCTGATAATCGCTAATATTAGGTAAATTTAAATGCTATCGAGTTTCTTTAAATTTTAATGGAAACGGTATGATAGTAAAATGTTTTTCGGATCCAAGTGTACTGTTAGTGTTCTACGATAACTTTTAGATTTAGATTTTCACAAAATTTTAAGAATATATTAAAATATTCTTAAGTAGAGCCGATGGGCTTACATTAAGTATTAACATGTCTATGTTTTTTCTTTTCTACGCAGTCAACATACCTTAGTAGCACACATATAATAATATCGTTAGTCCTGGATAAAATTTTCACAACGTAATAATAGTTTGCACAATTCTTATAATATTGTTTAATCTAAAATAGTTTTGTTTTTTATTACAATTTACATAGGTGTTATTTTGAAAATTAATTTGGAGAGTTTGTGAATCTCAGGATTTTTACGTTTTAGGTTATATTGAAAGAGATACAATATTTTTTAATTTTCTGTAAAAATACTTTTAAATATTTATAAATATCTTCATCTCAATAATTATGTGAATAACGTTTTCAAGAATAAATAATAATAGAACTGTATTAAAAAAGTAAGTAAAGCTTTTACTTCTGTAATTTCATGACGTAGTAATATTTGGTAAAACGAATAGGTGTGAATGTTGTATGTATAATATATAATGTAATAATGATTTTGATCCAAATGTTTAATAACGGTTATTAAATTTAGCGGCTCTATCATTCGTAACAACAATCAGCAAAAAAACTCGTACGGCACCTACCTAAAAACCAACCTGTTTTAGCTTCTTTTTTTGGTGATTTTTTCAGCTGATTATTTTGAAAGAATGACGACAACCATCCTGAGCTTTTATGTGGGCATGTGGCCTTCTTTTTTTTCTGCGGTTTTGCTGTTTTAGGCGTAAGACGATATTTACGTGTCGTCGGTCGACGAGTTGTAGTCGACCGGCGTGTGGTCTTCGTAGATCGACGAGTCGTGGATGCTCGTGTAGTCGTGGTCCGACGTGTTGTCGGTCTTCTCGTACTTGAACTTGGCCTTTGTAGATTTTCGTCCATCCAAACATCGTGATCAACTATGGTGTTTCCCGTAGGCCGAAATGGGGAATACGTAACAGCATTGATCTTCACCGTGTCTAAAACTAGAGTCGGTTTTGTTACTATAAAATTCGTATAACTTTGTATATTAATATTTGTTCTAATCACTTTATTTTTATCATCACGTTTGTTGTTTTTTTGAGTCATATTAAGTTTCGTAACTTTGCCTCTTGATATCACTTTAGCACTGGGTTTGGTGGTGGTTCGACGCGGAGGCGGTGTCGTCTCGTAGGATTCTCCGTAGTCGTCCCAATCAACAAAGGGGTCGAAGGATTCGGATTCAGAGACATCGGAATTAAAGGGCGGGCGGTGCGCGGTCACCGCACACGCCAGCAGCGCAAGCAGCGCCAGGCGACGCGCCATATGGCGGACGTGTGTGCATGGCGAGGTGCGCGTGCACTGTACGCTCTGTTGCGGCTCGTCTACGCCAGGCAACCTTCCCTGCCACTGTCATTATGCGACGATGTCGCTTTCAACGCACCCGCTACCACTAGGTCAGTCCGCCCGTTTGCGTTTGAACATCCAGCTCTCCATTTAACTATTATATTTAATGGCTATTATATTAGTAGCAGCTATATTATAGTTGTAGCATGAATGGGTTGGCTCGACCGGGGTAGGACCTCGTTCTCACAGAATATCAGCGTAAAATAGGAGTTTAATGCTTGTATGGTAGACTCGAAGGGTTACTTGTTTCTCACCCTTCTTCTATACAAAAAAAACATCCTTTAACACTGTACGTAATGGTGCGTCACCTCTTTTTCCTTGTATCTGATTAACCGCCGAACGTTGGTGAATGTCTGGTGGTATCACTGGTAATAGGTAATATTTTTATCGAATAATGCAAACTAAATTCATATTAAAATATCGCTATTCTAATGACGAGCACTAGTATGTTTTCAGGAGTTATTTTTGTGCAATTTTAGTCTCTCCGAGCCAGTAGTAGAGACAATATCTTAAGCTCTTTAGTTTTTTAAAATATACAAGTCATTGGCGAAGGGCCGTGCGAGGTCCCTTTAAATTCTATGCTCACAGACGTCATCACAGATGACTAATTAATTTGATCACTTTTACGCTCGAAAAAGAACGTCACAAATTTAAAAGCGTGTTCGTTTGGAGCTTTGTGAGGAGCTCCTCTTAAGTGCGACTGCGAGGTCGTTATAAGTACCTTCAAAGACCACGAACGTTAGATTGACGGAATACGAACTTATCAGGAATTAATAGCTATGAGTAGGTATGTTGTGTCAAATCATGTTTGGTAGGATAGATGTATTGGGTAGATCTTGGAAACGAAAGAAAAGGGGCCTCGCTGATGCGACTTCGCCCACGTCTATATTAGTCCACGCTACGCCTCTGATACAAGTAGATAAATTATGATATTTGACCACCGAAACTGAGAGAAGCTTGTGGATAAAATTTCTAGTTTTCTATTCCATTCTGTTCTAGGGTTGCAAATTTGCGAGGGCCTATATTATATAAGTAACATACAAGTGGTCAAGGCTTTTGTTAAGTACGCAAGTGAATGATAAAAATAGCACTTTTGATTCTTTAATAACTCAAATACTAAAATAGGCTTGTTAATGAATTTCAGGACTTAACGTAATCAAGGAGTACTTATGAGATACGCTGTATAGCTACTGACTCTCAGTAGCACCTTTCTATACTTTCCTATAAAATTTAAACTTTTGCTTCTATTTTTGAATTTAACATAGCAAGATTGTGGTAGTGGCCCAGTTTTTATCAAAAAAATATGTTTTTGGAAGGCTCACTTGATGAATGATATGAAAACCTCCAATTCAAAGTTTTAAAGTAGGTAACTGAAATAAAAATATGTACATGTCTCTTATTCACGTAGTGTGCTGTATTTTGTTTATCATATCTGACCGAAATAAATAAATATTACATGTTATTAGTAAATACGGTATGCTTAAGAAATATTTTTAGATAGGTCCTGCTTATTTACTGGGACTCTGTTGTAGAAGCGTATACATTGCCCCATGAAGGAATTACTGACTCTTTGGAGTCGAGTAACTAGCAATACTACGCGTATTGTTATTTTATACACATAAAATAGCTACTACTGTACTATATTATACTAATCTACCAGGTTGACTGGGAGAGAATACCAAAAGGCATTTGTTATCCTTTTTTTAGGTGTACAATAAAGTGTAAATAAATAAATATTAATACATACAATTAGGTACTGTTCGGCTGGATACCGAATACTTAAGTTTTGTTGTAGTCAGATAATTGGTAAAATGGTATTGATTACTTTATAATAATGTATTTTTCTTGTAATCATTAAAGTAATCATAGGTACATAATCAATTTCCGTGTTATAATTAACTAAAAGCTATGCACTTGAATTATCGTAATAAAAATTTAGAAGTTGAAGATTATGTCGCAGAAGGACAAATTTTTTTGCATTTTCAGGCAGTAGGGTGCATGCCCCTAATGGCAGCCTTTTCGTCTTTTACTTCATAAATAACGCTTTTCGTGGTATTGTCAACTAAAAAATTCATCATCTTAAGAAGAAAGTATATTTCAAATAAATCACACAGTTATAAATCTATCAATGTTATATTTAATATCAAAACACGCAGGCCACGGGTAACACTAATTTTCCTAATTTTTTGACAAGTTAAGGACCCGATAAAATTCATATCTAATCATCAGCTTATTTTACATCATTTCGTCTGTAGGTTTTGCGATTTGCATGAGTTTAAACAGGCATAATAATGCATTAATTTTTAAGTAAATTTACAAGTTGTTATTTTCTTTTAGTGAGAATTAATGGAGCTGTAATTAGATATACGATATGTATGGGGTGCATAATGTCAGCCGCCAGGCTGTTATTTGGTTTAATGGTCGGTTCTATGTGTATAGCCTGGCCATATAGTATAACCAGTTAACATTAAAACAAAATAATAATAATTTCATACCGCATACTCGTGTCACGCATGATTGAAAATTAGACTGTGCACCTAAAACTTACCTACAATAAAGTACCTACCAAAAACTCAAAGGGCACAAGGTAACTAACGCTTAAACCATTTCGACTTTTTTTATTTATCGTCGTTTTTGAAATTGCTAGTGTAAAAATATAAAAATGAATGTTCATTACCTGTCGTTAAAACAAGATTTTAAAAATATTGTGATCTTATTAAAATATTACTAATTTTTAAAGTTAAAATTGGCACTAAAAACATGGTAATAGGGGTCACCCTAGTAGACCAACTCCTTTTATTTCTCGCAGATAATCCCAGCTTTAGAGAAAAGACGCTCTGAATAAACGCTACTTCCTTCCCGATCGAAAACTTTTGCTTAATATTCGGCAATTCAGCCAGGAAGCCCGCAGAATATTCGGTATTCGGCGTGTGGCCCAACATACTTTATTCATTGCAAGTTTTTTTTATTGAATAACGGTGACAAACAAGCACACTGTGGCCCATAGACATCTACATTTATCCTCAATTAAGAATCAAAATGCAGTAAAAAGTGTCTCCGGTTCTCTACACTCACCATACAAAAAAAAACGTTAAACTGCTATTTTACGCTGGTATTCTGTAAGAGCGTGGTCGAGCCGATCTATTCGTGCTACAACTACAATATAGCTGCAGTATGGCTCTACCAGTCAACTGTTTACCGTCACATCAAAGAAAAGGTTGATATATTTTTTAATCATTTAACTAGCATTAATATTTTCGGATATGTTGTGACCATTATGTAGCCATTTTAAATACGAGTCACGAGTGTTCGCGAACGAACGGTATTTGGAGGTAAAGTACCGTGAATATCTATTCGTGCTATCTTTAATACCAAAACTTAAAGGCAAGCTAATCGAACCGAATAAAACTGTACAACAGTTACAAAATACTGAACAACAGTATTTTGTAAAAGTAAATGAATAAAAAGTGTAAAAAGTAAATTACGCAATTGTAATAATTTTTCTTTAATCTAATATACCTTGTCACAAAGATGTTTTATAGGTCCTATAAAACATCTTTGCCTTGTCATTTATACCTTGCCTATGCCTTGAAATTTGTATTAATATTTTCGAAGATACAGAGGGGAATATTAGCGATATTGAAACATTGTTTAAAAAATGACAAATATTAGATTAGATAATTTATTAAACCTATATTTTTACTATATTTTTAAAATGGTGTTGCAAAGGAATTTTATTTTATATAACAAGATTATTTTTTAGCTTCAAATGCCAAATTTCAATAATCTTTCTAAAATATTCGTGACATATCGACAGGCATGGAAGTGTAATATATTTGCCGAATTGCTTCGTTTTGCCCATTTTATCATGAAATTCTAAGGTCCGGTCCACATTAAATTTGATCTTGACCGCCCATTTCAACGTTATCATATCATTAGCGTGTCAAAAACGCGTTTCGTTCACACTTAACCTTAACGCATGTCAGCGTATCGGCATATCATTGTTTATACGTGGACGCTACAAATTTTCATGTCATCCTTGTACTTTTACCATATAAAAACTTATCATAACCGTATAGTGGCTTGTAGTATCAATTTTGATGATCGGGGAAAAACAGATAAGAGATGGAAAGTATCGTGTCGCATCGTCGTATCGGTAAGTACCATATACGATGTTACAACGGTGTATCACATGATCGCGTATAATTATGCGTTCAAACTAGCGATCATGATACGCGTCTGCGCCACGCATGGATACAATATACCAAGACGTTCAAATGCGAATAAGGCCCAATGATATATGCAGGTAAGTAAACCGAAGTCTATGCGAGCGAAGCCACGGCAAGAGCTAGTATAATTTTATAATTTAAACTATAGGTTGTGATACAGAAACACACTTAACAATACAGTCGAATTGAGAACCTCTTCCTTTTGAAGCCCGTTAAAAATAAATGTCAAACTTCACGCAGGCTAGTACCGCGACTAAGGAACTTTTATAGACTTATTCATTAGGCCCGAGACTATCATTTACCACGGTGAGTGCTCAGAGTAATTATTTGGATTAATTCAAGCAGCCAAATACAGTCAACGCACATCGCCGCAAAACTCACGATACCATCGACATCAGGATCCACACCATCTGGATGCATGGTGGCCCACCCCTTTGTTATTAACTGAGAGTTTTCTTATTCCGACAATTTATTTGTGGGAATCGTTTACCACCGACCATTTTTCCGGATCGATATGATTTAGAGAGCTTCAAGAAACGAGCTTACTCCTCTTTCAAAGGCCGGCAAGGCACCTGTAAGTTCCCTGGTATTGCAGTTGTTTATGGGTGCCGGTCGACACTTACCATCAGGTTAGTCACATGCTTGTTTGCCCTCTCTTCTATATGGAAAATATTAATATTATGCAATAAC